ATTCTTTGCGTTTGTGATGTGATGTGTTGTTTTGCGCATGCTCCAGGGCACCGTGTCCGTCTGTCTGGTTTTGCTGTAGATCGTAACTATTTTCTTTTAAAAAACAACAACGAACCTCTCTAACGTTTACTGTATTAAAAATATTTTTTAACAACGTACAATAACACTTACTCAAAGACTTTTGCTTCCGTTGATGTGGTTCATTATGAGGATTCGATCCACTTAATGACCTTGAATTTTTGACCAGTTCACTCCTATATCGGTTAACCTTACTATCCCTGTACTCGAATGGAATACCACCACCAATACTCTTCCCCCTGACATCACGGACCTGCACTGTGACCGAATGTGTGCCACGACGTCTTGCAGCTTAAAAAGATTAAAACTTGTTATATTTCGTTGAAATGTTACCATTTTAAATGAGATAATGTTTAATATTTCCTGAGACCTCTGGAACCAAAGCTTAGGAACGGTCTTATTTGTATTATCCCCGAGCAACGCGCGAAGTGCGTAGGGCGAAGGTACTAATTCTGCTCGGCTATTTACACCTGGGGAAAGGAAAACATTAGCGAAGTCTAAAGTTCATCAGTGATCGCGGGCACATGGCTTTGCATTGGTGTTCAACTGGTCATCTCACTGACCTCAACAATATAGCAATTTGCTAGGAGTGAAGGAAGCAAAGATTAAAAAAACATGCATGACATGCGTGGGCATTTTTTTGTGTGTGTGTTTTGATGTTATGTACTCAGGTGAATATAACGTTTTTGATGTTACTCTGAATGTATATATCCACACCGGGCAGGCTTAAAAGTTAGCCTGACCACGGTGGGAATCGAACCCGCGACCTTTGGGATACTAGTCCAATGCTCTGCCAACTGAGCTACGAGGCCAAGTCTGTTCGAGTGTGTGGTATTTCGAAACTAAGTCTAGTAGCTTCCATACCAATGTGTTCTATGGATCATGATATTTTTTGTGTGGGTGTCCCGATGTTATGTACTCAAGTGAATATACTGTTTTTGATTTTACTCTGAACGTATATCCACACCAGGCAGGCTGAAAAGCTAGCCTTACCACTGTGGGAATCGAACCTGCAACCTTTGGGATACTAGCCCAATGCTCTGCCAACTGAGCTAAGGCCAAGTCTGTTCGAGTGTGTGGTATTTCGGAACTAAGTCTAGCACCTTCCATACCAATGTGTTCTACGATCATAATATTTTTTGTGAGTTTTAATATTAGCTTTTCAGCCTGCCTGGTGTGTATATACACTCAGAGTAACATCAAAAACATTATATTCACCTGAGTACATAACACACACAAAATATCATGATCATGGAACATATTGGTATTGAAGGTAATAGACTTAGTTCCAAAATACCACACACTCGAACAGACTTGGATTGGACTAGCATCCCAAAGGCCGTGGGTTTGATTCCCACCGTGGTCAGGCTAACTTTTCAGCCTGCCCGGTGTGGATTTACACTCAGAGTAACATCAAAAACATTATGCTTGGACATCTTTTCACACAATAAGTTCTACATCACCTTTTTCAAATTTTAAAGAAATGATAAGTATGTGAAATGCTGAAGTTGCTAGAGTAAGTTTATTTTACTGTTTATGTATAACTACAGGTGGCTGAGGCTCTGTGTGGGTATTTATTTATTTTTTAATTTTATTATATTTTGCATTAAAAATTTACTTTAAATTATAAAGTATGACTTACTTAGTTTCCTTTATGTATTCTGTGTGATTTGGAGGTGGTTTTAGTTTGATATAATGACATAAAAGCATCATACGGATGCGATATAATATACTTTATATATTGTAAAAATTGTAAAAAAAAGCCTAAATACGCACTGATTCAAAATATTGTTGGACGTATTTGTTTACTGAGTCATTTACCTCACTCTCGTCGATTTTCAGGCCATTTCGTTGAACCTGGTCTATTTTGTTTATCATCTATAATTACCCTATTTACTATCAATAATGCAAAGGTAGGCAGTTGTGACGCCGGGCGAACTTGGGCAAGACCTAAATTTGGCAAAACTTAAATTATCTACTAATTCCACGTTAACAGATCAGGAAGGTTGAGGAGAAATATTTTAACGAGAGGTGCGGTTACGAAGTTCGAAAAATTCAAATTTTTAACGGTTTGGTTCCAGAGCAGATTGAGTTCGAAGCAAGTACTTTAACTTACATTCAGTTGTTTTAATTCTTCAAAGAAAAGTGAGGGAAACGATTTTACAAGTTGGAAAGATTGAATAAACATAATTATGTATAGCCACGGCTTTAGAAGCGTTTGGCAATATTTTATCGGCGAGTTTTGTTGAAATTTAGGTCTTGCCCAAGTTCGCCTGGCGTCACAACTACCTACCTTTGCGTTATTGATAGTGGGTAATTATAGATGATAAACAATATAAGCCAGGTTCAACGAAATGGCCTGAAAATCGACGAAAGTGAAGTAAATGACACAGTAAACAAGTAAGTCCACCAATATTTTGAATCAGTGCGTATTTAGGCATTATTTTTTTACAATATTTAACAATATATAAAGTGTATATTTAATATATCGCATTCTCATGTTTTTATGTCATTATATCAAACTAAAACTACCCCCAAATCACACAGAATACATAAAGGAAACTAAGTAAGTTATACTTTATAATTTAAAGTAAATTTGTAATGCAAAATATAAAATTAAAAAATAAATACTCACACAGCGCCTGGGCCACCTGTGGTATGACTTTGCAGTCCAGTTTTTGCCTGAAGGCCTTGTTAACATGCACAGCTTTCCTTTTCATTCTATGTAAAAGTTTCTTCGAATTAACTTGTTTTAATTTCTTTATGAAAGCTCAAAAAAGGATAAAATTATTTTCAAAGAGCGACCTGTATGACTTAAATTTATTTCAATTCAAAGTACGAGTATTAATAAGTTGAAGTGTTTATCGGCAAAAAGCAGTTGATTTCAAGGAACATTTAAAAACGTTTTACGAAGCGTTTCGTATTGATTTTTACATTATAATAAAGCCCATAGCCTGTCTACAAGCTATAAAGCCAATAGAAAGCAAAATAACATACCTACTTTGTATATGTTAGAAATAGATAGTTAAGTGGTTAAAAAGTGTAAACCATTTATTTTTGCCGTTTTGAACAAAAGATTAAGAAAACTATTAATAGACAATTCCCATTTTGACTAATTTTAAAACTAGGCAAAAAGATGCAAATAAATCACCACAGCTAGAACGAGCACCCCAAAATTAGTAACATTACAAAGTTTGGTTGCGAAATGTTGTAAAATGCAGAAATATAGCCTTGCAAAGTTTGCAAATTTTGTACACTTCTGTATTGCGTGTGGAAATTCCTTCCACATTCCTACCACATTTGGGCCGAAAATGGTAGCTATTTCCACACGCAAAACAAAAGTATACAAAATTTGAAAACCTTGCAAGGCTATATTTTCCGCATTTTACAACATTTCGCGACCAAACTTTGTAGTTTTACTAATTTTTAGTATATTCTTCCTAGCTGTGATGATTTATTTGCATCTCCTTGCCTAGTTTTAAAATTAGTCTATAATGTGAGTTGTCTATTATCGTGTTGCCATGGCTAACATAACGCGAGCCTGCGTTCCATGTTGGCGTAATTAGAATACTTCATGTTCAAACAATGTTTGAGAATGTTGGCGAGGGGTTGTTGCATGCATGTACTTCTAGTAACAAATATTATTACCAGGAATATTGTCACAACCATCGAGATGCTTGCTGCCGGATCCACATGCTTTGCAGGTCCCATAATCACCAAATTGAAATGTGTATGTTCCTTCTGGTAGATCTTGATTTGCACGTGCTATAAATTGACCTCCTCCCTGTAATTAAAGAAGGACAAGCTAGATTTTCAATGCTACACTGTTATTTTCAGGGAGTTAAAATAACTCCCCTATTATTCCTTTTTGGTGGAGTTAAAATTTTAAAGTTAGTGTAACTCCATTTTTGGAGTTAAAGTAACTCTCTCAGAGGAGTTAGAGGATACTAGTGAACTAATTAGGATGCAAAATTAACTCCTCATGGTGGAGTTATTCAAATATAACTCCATTTTTTGGAGTTATTTGTTTTTGGAGGCAAACAAAATGGCGTCGTGTTTTCGGCTTTTTTTAAGAGTTTTAACTCGCTCAGATTGCTTTCCTTTATACTGTACTCCAGAAAAACCCCTGAAAATTATACAAAAGGGAGGCGAGAACTGCATTATTCATGTTTCAGGTAAGTGAACATATTTTACTTCGTGTTTAATATAAATATTCAGATAAGAGGAGTGACATTTTTACACACAGCAGCTCACTGATGCACTGTTTTATTACAACTTATTTTTATTATTCTGTGGCGATGTGTTGCATTATATTAGATTTAAACATAGTAATTACATTGTACTTGTCATACAGTGCAATACAATCCACTATAATTAGTTTAAACAAGACATGACAGCTATGACAACACAAAATACAGTAAATTTCATTACAGCACAACAAAGTATAGTACAATTTTGCATCAAGCAGTACATTACAGTAGAATATTCCTAAAAATACAGTGCACCAAAGGATAGTAGAGCACAATTTCCCATGGTTCAGATTACTGTAGCACAGTTAAGTATACAGTAGCAGAGTTTATAACACATAAAAATTTTTGTTTAACATTAAATGTTTAACACAACCCAGCCAATGTACTGTAGTGTTAGTATATGGCACAGTATTACTGGAACACACCACAAGTCTTATAACAGTCTTATATTGGATATAATTGAATGGATATGCTTCACTCCTCAAGACAGCATAGTACTGCAGAGCAGACAGAAGCACACATGGTCATGGACAATGCACAATTTTTGTCTGCTTTTTTTCTCAATTAAACATACAATTATAATTTATATACAAAAACAAATAACAGAAGGAAAACGTCTACATATAAATGTATCTGCCTCGTACCCAGGCGTCTCTTTGTAAAAAAGCAGTGATGCCGATATGACGTGTTTACATGAAGTATTGTAGTGGGGAGAGATGGCGAAGGGGCTGATGGGAAGAGTGCACTTGAACTGCGAGACGCCTGGCAGTTCTTGGTCGATTTCTTGCAAATTTGTACGATTTCTTGCAAGTCGTGCTATTTCGTTTTCGTTTACGATTTTTTGCTACTTGTTTTTGTTGAATTGACTAATGTTAATATTCTTCTGTCATCCGGGCGTGAATTCATGCTGTTATTCTTGGTATATATGACATATATATGCCCTTAAAGTCCATGGAAATTCCAATATTAACATGTCAACAACCGAAGCGTTGAAGAACTAGACTTGCAGGAACTAGATTTGTAAGCTATAACTATATAAAGGTACAGACTATAAAATTGCACTATTGTAATAAATATTTCAAACTTTACGGCTGTGAACTTTTATTTACTTGGGCTTTTGTTTACAGTATACATTTAATAGAAATTGCCATTGGCATTGTGATCGACTGATTGAGCTTTCAGCTAAAGAAGTTATTAATACAAAAGCAATTATATGACTTTCTAATCATTTCTCTGTTACTGTTTTATGCTAACTGAGCAACTGATAGCATTTTATTATTCTCCATGTAATATCGAATGACATATTCGAAATATTCGCACGGTTAACTTGTCATGTTATTTACTCATAATTTTTCGCGCATTTTGCATGTCATCGAACATCTACAAATGTATTATTATTTGCCAATGGCGTTCAATTCAACTGTTCATCACAAAGTAAGGTTTTACACACAGTACATGACGATATGGTAACTTTTTGTATAAAATTCCCTGTTTTCCCGCCATGACAGTATACAAGAACTGCCAGGCGCTCCCCAGCACGCACCCTTCCCAACAGCCCCTTCGCGCGTCGGATGCCTACCTGAATACTTCATGTAAGCGCCTGGGTACGAGGCAGTAAATGTATAATAACGCAGCGTAAATCAATATCACTGATGTGAAAGGCATGCAATATTCGGCCGCCAATCACAAAACATATATTCTATAATATGAATGTTAGGCAGCTGCATGTTCTGTTGTATAATATTCCTGAAAAAATACAAGGAAAATTTGACGTTTTGAAAGTTTAGTTTTATCCTCACTGACAATGAATTAGTTTATATATATATATATATATATATATATATATATATATATATATATATATATATATATATATATATATATATATATATATATATATATATATACTGTAATTTATATAGAGAGAGGTTTCGAAGTTCCGATCCCAATGGAATTGCAGAGCCGCAGGTTCAATTCCCGCCGGAGGGCCTATATAGTTGCATATATCGAAGCTGCTTTTGGTTAGGTTTAAAAAAATGTTGATAACTTTCCGTTCGATTATCCATCAACAAGCATCTTTATCCTAATTGGTATTCTTCTCAATACACTCGCAGTGCATTGATTTATGATTGATTGATCAACCTGATAAAACACTCCTGCATTAAACATTACTTATTAAATATCCTATTAGAATATATAATTGGTCTTTGATAGAGAAAACGGCCAATAGGATCGAATACACTGTATTGTATCAGTCAGATTGTATTTGCAAATTGGGTTTCTTGTTCAGGATGAGACTTACAATGAACATTTTTTAAGATAAGAGAATTTGATGGCAAATAGTAAACAAGTATTTAATAAATAAGTGTACCAACGCTGTTTCTAAAAATATGACTTTGTACATAAATACCGGGTGTCCCAAAAAAAAGTACTCCTGTTTGATTCGTAATAACTTCTAAACAAGTAAAGCTTTTAAAGAGAAATAACTTGCATTAAATAGAAGAAGGACTAACTTAGATTTTGATATATTACAGTTGTATTTTACTTAAAAATTCACGGAGATATTAATGTTCAAAATCGGAAGCATATTTTGGGATGTGTCTAAAATTAGCGAAAATCGGCATATCAAATATTAACTCCAGCGTTTGTTTGCTTAATGACATATCAGGCTAACTTGTATTTCAGCGAATTATCGTTAGGGTTTGTCTAGGGATATGGCGTAGATTTAGACATCTTACATGTAAGTCTTAGCTCATTGTTTCCTGAAATATGAACGTTCGAAATTATGCAAGTATTTAATATTAGGTCTTTACAAACTTAAAAGTACATGAAAGACTCACCATGGAAGGCAGGCGCTTAAATTTTTCTTAAATAGCCTAATTTTTTAATGTTTTTAATGGGTTCAAACAGACTGAGTTGATTATTTCTCGGTTAGAGCAGGATGAATATTATTCTTTATTGAAGGAAATAATATTGCTTTTTGCAAATACACATCACCGTATCAACGCTACTATTTTGTTACGTTTTGTTCCAAAAATGTTGCATGTCTCTGGGGAGTTGCTTAATTGTTATGTCTTATGGAGTTATATGGTTTGATTGTGTTTCATATAATTCTCAGTTTACTCTGAACTTGCCAAGATTAAGAAAATGCAAAAGAGTTTGGGTGTTCTTAACAAGATTTCAGAACGTTGCAGAAGTTAGAAGAGCTTCACAATTCCATTGTGACAGCATGCCCTAATTCAGAACAACGATCGATCCATGACGATATCCTTCACGATGCAGCTAGTGGTCTCATGAAATAAGGAAACGTATTCGTGCTAGGAACACACGCGAATTTGGACGAATAAATCTGCTTGTATTTTGTAGATATAATAATCCTTTGTTTCATAATAAACAATTTGTCAAGTGTCATTTATTTACTGGTAATAGTGCATGTTTCAGTCGGGCAAATCTTGATTAATATTTGATACGCCGTTTTTTGCATATTTTAGACACATCCAGAAATATGCTCCCGATTTTAAAGATTAATATCTCCGTGAGTTTTTAAGTGAAATACAACTGTAATATATCAAAATCTAAGTTAGTCCTTTCTCTATTTGATGCAAGTTATTTCTCTTTAAAAGCTTTACTTGTTTAGAAGTTATTACGAATCAAACAGGAGTACTTTTTTTTGGGACACCCGGTATTTGTTTTCATTTAGATGTAAGTTGCTGTGTAATAATTATGATACAACTTTCAGCTTTATAACTGATTAAGCAAAGATGAATACATCTTCTTAATCTGTCAGCAAAAGATGACTGCATCTTTCTGACACAAGAGCGTCCACTAAAAGAATTCTCACAATTTTTATACTGTACAACAGCAATATGTATTTTTTATGTCTCGAATAGTAGCTTATGATAAAATTATAGAATTTGTTGTACTTTTCATTTAGATATAAGTTGCTGTGTAATAATTATGATACAGCTTTAACAGATTAACCAAAGATGACTACATCTTCTTAATCTGTCAGCAAAAGATGACTGCATCTTTCTGACAAAAGAGCATCCACTAAAACAATTCTCATTATCTTTATACTGTACAACAGCAATGTAGTTTTTATGCCTTGAATAGTAGCTTATGATAAAATTATAGAATTTATTGTACTTTTCATTTAGATATAAATTGCTGTGTAATAATTATGATACAACTTTCAGCTTTAACTGATTAAGCAAAGATGACTACATCTTCTTAATCTGTCAGCAAAAGATGACTGCATCTTTCTGACACAAGAGCGTCCACTGAAAGAATTCTCATAATCTTTATACTGTACAACAGCAATGTAGTTTTTATGCCTTGAATAGTAGCTTATGATAAAATTATAGAATTTGTTGTACTTTTCATTTAGATATATAAGTTGCTGTGTAATAATTATGATACAACTTTCAGCTTTAACTGATTAAGCAAAGATGCCTACATCTTCTTAATCTGTCAGCAAAAGATGACTGCATCTTTCTGACACAAGAGCGTCCACTAAAAGAATTCTCATAATCTTTATACTATACAACAGCAATGTATTTTTTATGTCTCGAATAGTAGCTTATAATAAAATTATAGAATTTATTGTACTTTTCATTTTGACATAAGTTGCTGTGTAATAATTATGATACAACTTTCAGCTTTAACTGATTAAGCAAAGATGACTACATCTTCTTAATCTGTCAGCAAAAGATGACTGCATCTTTCTGACACAAGAGCGTCCACTAAAAGAATTCTCATAATCTTTATACTGTACAACAGCAATGTAGTTTTTATGTACTATTTAAAAAACGAGCATTAGTGTTTTATTAGGTTTAGACCTAATAAAACACGACCTGCGAGTTTTTTAAATGGCTTCAAAAACGTTTGCATGATAAGTCAAATCTGAATAAGAAAAATCTTTATATAAAAATCTTTATATAAAAATCTTTATATAACAATCTTTATATAGTTTGCATAACAATGGTCTTTTGTTAAAGTGTTCTTTAGCTGGTATAAGGACGTGTGCACGTGACTAATTTCTTACTCAAGATTCGGATAATTGCTTCATGAATTATTAATGAGTTTTTGAAGCCTTGAATAGTAGCTTATGATAAAATTATAGAATTTATTGTACTTTTCATTTAAATATAAGTTGCTGTGTAATAATTATGATACAATTTTCAGCTTTAACTGATTAAGCAAAGATGACTACATGCATCTTCTTAATCTGTCAGCAAACGATGACTGCATCTTTCTGACACAAGAGCGTCCACTAAAAGAATTCTCATGATCTTTATACTGTACAACAGCATGCAATGTAGTTTTTATGTCTTGAATACTAACATTATTTTATAGGATTTATTGTGAAATAAAAGTGAGCGTATACCTCTTCAATTAGTATGCATTATCACTGCATGGTGATAAGTAATAATAAGGTAGAATAGTGCATCTAGTGATTCTACATGATTGGTTCTACATACTCATTGAAATAAACAGTAGAGGCAATTGTAAATCCTACCCGTGCCCGTGAAGGTGCAGAAACATTAATGATCAGTCCACAAGAGAAATGCCATCATAATCATACCACCTGCCATGATATTTGTATCTCCATGTAGTGAACTCCATTCTAGAATGCGATTCCTCCTAGGGTGTATGTGGTGTTACAAACGATTAATGTTTTATATAACATTGACATTATACAATTCAATACACCTTTTCGATAATTACGTCACAAGTATTTCCTTTGTCTGGGAGTCTCGCTTCATGAATCAAGAAGAAACACAATTCGCTCACGATTCATGAAAACGAGGCTCCTGGGCCAAGGAGAAACTTGTGACGTAATTATTGAAAGGGTGTAGTGTAGAGTCTTGTGGTATGGTTGAACATGCAACTTCTGTTGTGATACTCACAGGCAGGGTAAACAGCTTGTAAAGGTACGATTGTAAGAATTATCACATGTAATAAAGTAAATTGTTACATTCATAACCTTTGGGCTCCGATGGTCAGTAATCAAAGCACGGAATGAGTCAAACAAATAACAATAGTGTATAAACTGTCTAATAAACACGTTTAAATATATGCGTCAGTATGCAAATCTATCACACCTTGGGTAAAATATCACCATGCAGTAAAACAATTATCATGCATGCAGTTACACTTATATTCATACTTGCGCTTAATATTACCCGTAAATCATTGGCCATGCATGAGAGTGTTTTGTACACATTTTTGTCTGTTTTGGAAATGTACTTGACCAGACGACTATGTATTTGTATTAAATATGAAAGAGGATATCAAAGTTGGCAGAGCATTGGGCTAGTATTCCAAAGGTCATAGGTTCGATTCCCACCGTGGCCGGGCATATTTTTCAAGCTCGCCCAGTGTGGATATACACTCAGAGTAACATCACAAACATATCATATTCACCTGAGTACACAACACCAGCACAGAAAAAAAATATCAACATACCCCAGTGCGTCCAAGTTATGTACTGTAACTAAGTAGTGTCTGCCATCCTACATCTGAAATTTTTATTCTGACTTTCAGAAGAAGCATAGTCCAATCTGGCATTTTAATAGATTTAAGCAGAATTGACTGGCTTTGTTCCGAAAGAGTCGTGTCTAATGCCTCGAGTCTTGAAAATATCACATCGGTTGCCCCAAAATCACAACATCAGAATATTATATACCCGGCGACCGCCTTCTGATGCCGATAATTTCGTTGATGTTCTCCTCGGGGTTCTCCTGATAGGCACACGCAACAACATTCAGGGATTTCCGATGAATTGCTCGCCATTCGTTTTAATGCGACGCGTCCTTTCTTGTGGTGATATTTCCTTCGATTTAATGAGAGCGCTAGTTGACGCGTGCGGCGATGTAATTTTGGCGCGCACGGAGAGAAAAACAATCTCCTGTTCTTGTCTTTCCATTCGAACACGCTTTGGACTTGGCTCTAGGTCCGCGTTTCCTGCAGGGTCTGAGCCGTCTTCATCTATAATAATATTATGGCTGTTTGCTGTCGTGGTCTTTAAGATCAGCGATATTTAATACCTTTTCTACGTCGCTAGAGAACAATCGGAAGGTTGCGCTTCCTAGTCGTGCTTTCTACCAGATTTCGGATGGCCAAAGAACAAGTGATTGTACGCGTTAATTCTTGTTATAGTCAAACCAATGCGAATATACTGGAAAGTAAATTTCGCACATTGATCTGAGCACACAGCGGTTTTTGTTCGAAATTGGCGCGTGTTTGCATTTATAAATCCCAACTACGGCGTTGACAAATGTGTTAAGTCATTACGAATTATTAAATTATTACTAAATCGGATGTAGCTTATCAATATTTAAACCAAGAATAAAACGGACTATTAAATTACACTAGTATGATATAATTGGGTGAGTTAATTTAATTTGTATATGTCAACCCTCAAACGCCTGCCTTACAAACGCCATGGGGAACGAACACATTTTGCGGGTCCTCATGAATCTGTGACCGTTACTTCTTTAAACTAAATTGCTTTAAACTGATTGGTTGATTTAATCATCACAATGTTTTTCCACCAATCAGATCAGGTTGTTACAGATTTTTGCACCGTGATTACAGATAATTGCACTGTGATTACAGAAAATTGCACTGTGATTCAGTGGCGCCGTGGCCGGGAGGGGGGGGGGGCAGGGGGGAAGGGGCATGCCCCTCCCCCCCTATTGTGGATACCCGTCGGAAAATTGTGAATGTTGTCGGAAATTTTTGGAAAATTGACAACGTTGTCGGAAATTGTCAGTTTCCGACGTTGGTAAATTCCGAAATTTTTTGATAAATGGAGAAAATGGGTGATGTCCGGAAAAATTTTAAGATGCAACGAAAAAATTTGTTATGTCCGGAAAATTCTTTGACCCCTAAATTGGTACACTGACCGAAATTTTTTTGGCGGAAAATATTTTCAGGTTTGTCGGAAAAGTACAGCCCTTGGCCCCCCCAAAAAACATGCGTCCCACGGCGCCACTGCTGTTATTACAGAAAATTGCACTGTTGTTTTGTGTTAACTGCACTGAAATCAACCAATCACAGTCGAGTAATATCTTTATGTATATTATTAAAGGTATATAAGCGTTGTCATCAGTGCGGTTAAATAAAAAAATCTGTACATCCCAACGCTCGTTTTGTTTTTAATAGCACTGGCTTGCACCTTGCTGACGGAAAACTTCATCACGTGTGTGTCACATGGGAGTCATCAAACGGCCACTTTAAAGTGTACAAAGACGGTGCTTTGGTTAAAACACTGGATAACGTCAAGACTGGAGAAAAATTTAATGCAGGTGGAATATGGGTGATTGGTCAAGATCAGGATTCTTTGGGAGGTGGTTTCCAAACCGCAGATTCTTACAAGGGTATCTTGACCGAAGTCAATATTTGGAATAAAATTCTTGGTTCCGATGAGATCAAACGTTTTGCAAACGACTATGGTTTGGCGGTGGAAGGAAACTACAAGGCTTACAGCGATTTTGATATATCCAGTGCTACTGAATTGATTAAACCGTCATGCTGTCCCTTGGCTCCACTTCCTGAAGCATGATATGTGTTCTTATGCATGATATTTGTTTGCACGAACTGCTCCTTTCATTATAAACACTTGTTAGAGTCTGTAGAAAGATTTCTTCCCACGAAATCATGTCAATTCAATTTTCAATTTATTCATATAAAATACGTACATACATTAATAAGACATGACAAGCCGCTAATAGCTACAAAGCTAGTCGAGGCGGCTTGTCTATCGTGACACAGTTACAAAGCCATTAATTATATAGCAAATTATATATACATAATATGAAATAATTTTCAATGAAATTACATATTAATAAACTTAACGTTTTTAGAAAAAAAATAAAAAAGTAATAATAATAATATACTGTATATCAATTAAGAACAGGGAAAAAAGTGGGAGTTAACACTTCAATTTGAGGCTTCATTGCGTGATATTTTCTTAATTTTACAGCTGAGCGACTCTATGTCCGGATAAGTGTTTTCATTCTGTAAAATGTCCAAAAGGATACTACGTATCCTTTTCTTAAATGCTCTTGTTGGCAATTCTCTTATGCAAGATGGTACCTCATTCCACCA